GCTTTGGAGTATTTCACTAATATGGCTTTATACTATTTCAATATCTTGTAGTTCTAGTCCTATCTCATTGTTTTCTTAAAAGTATCTGGTGTTTTTATTTTTTCATATGAACTTCAGAAGCAATTTACATATTAAAAATCTGTTGGTATTTATTGAAATTGGGATCTCATATTTAGAGATTCATCTGGGGGTGCCCACTATTCAAGAATGAGGCAAGTGATACCATTTGTTTTCCTTTGCAGTTAGTTTTCTAATAGTATCTTAACATTTTACAGAGACTTTTAAAATTCTTGTTTTATTCCTGGGCTTTTAATCTTTTTATTTGTAAATAAATATATATTAGTTGTTTTTTATATGTGAAAACTGTTGAAACCTGTGTATTTTATCTCACTGAATTCACTTAGTCTTTACAGTAGTTTTCACTTAGTTTTTTTTGTTTTTTAATTTATATATATATATATAATACATTTTATTGATTATGCCATTACAGTTGTCCCATTTCCCCTTCATTCCCCTCCACCCTGCAAACCCCCTCCCCCACCATCCCCCACATAGTTTATGTCCATGTATCACAAGTTCTTTAGATTATAAATTTCCCATACTATTCTTGCCCACCCCCTGTCTATTTTCTACCTACCGTCTATGCTACTTATTCCCTGTACCTTCTCCCTCCTTCTCCTCCTCCTCCCACTCCCCTGTTGCTAACCCTCCATATGATCTCCATTTCTATGTTTCCGCTCCTGATCTAGTTGTCCTCTTAGTTTGCTTTTGTTTTAGGTGTGGTTGTTAATAACTGAGTTTGCTATCCTTTCACTGTTCATATTTTTATCTTTTTCTTGGATAAGTCCCTTTAACATTTGATATAATAAGGGCTTAGTGAGGATGAACTTGAACTTGACCTTATCTGAGAACCACTTTATCTGCCCTTCCATTCTAAATGAAAGCTTTGCTGGATAGAGCAATCTTGGATGTAGGTCTTTGAATTTCATAAGTTGGAATACTTCTTTCCAGCCCCTTCTTGCCTGTAAGGTCTCTTTTGAGAAATCAGCTGACAGTCTGATGGGAACTCCTTTGTAGGTGACTGTCCCCTTATCTCTTGCTGCTTCTAGGATTCTCTCCTTCATTTTCATCTTGGCTAATGTAATGATGATGTGCCTTGGTGTGTTCCTTCTTGGGTCCAACTTCTTTGGGACTCTCTGAGCTTCCTGGATTTCCTGGAAGTCTATTTCCTTTGCCAGATTGGGGAAGTTCTCTTTTATTATTTGTTCAAATAAGTTTTCCACTCATGGATGTTCCTCTTCCAGTACCCCTATCATTCGGATGTTGGAATGTTTGAAGATGTCCTGGAGGTTCCTAAGCCTCTCCTCATTTTTTTTGAATTCTTGTTTCTTCTTTTTTTGTTGTCATTTTTTTCTTTATTCTGGTGCACTCCATTGATTTGAGTCCCAGTTTCCTTTCCATTACTATTGCTTTCCTGTGCATTTCCCTTCATTTCACTTAGTTTAGCCTTCATTTGTTCATCTAGTTTGTGACTAAAATTAACCAGTTCTGTGAGCATCCTGATTACCAGTGTTTTGAACTGTGCATCTGATAGGTTGGCTATCTCTTGGTTGCTTAGAAGTATTGGCTCTAGGGCTTTGAGCTGTTCTTCTTCTTGAGCCATAATGTTTTGGTCTGTTAGCACTTGTTAGGTATGAGGGGCAGAGCCTTAGGTATTCACCAGGGCAGGGGACCCACTTGCTGGGTTGTGACGCTATATGTGGGGGCAGGGTCAGAGAGGGGCAATGGCATTTGTTCTGCTCTCTCTCAGATTTTGGTCCCCTCTGCTGCCTCCCACAAGCAAATTGGGCCCTTCTGGTGCTGGTTCCCAGGTGTGCGGACTTGTACACCCTTCAGGACCCTGCGGGTCTCTCCAACGAACTCTCTGTGAGCCTGAGAGCCTCTCCCGGCACCTCAACCCCCAAAAGTGTTTCCAATTGGTGCTTTTAGGCTTTATTTCTCATCAGTGGGGCCCTGGGTTGCATGGTCTGTCTCCCTGTTTATTTTTTCACCTGGTTTATCTGTGTGTGAATGTGTGACCGTGGTCAGCCAGCCACCTTGCCCCCTCACAGCGTCTGCCCATTGCCACCCCGCACCTGGAGTCTGCCAACTGTGGCCTGTGCCCCTGGGTCAGTCCAGCCGCTGTTTCCTGTGCCCCTCTCCACCAGCCACTGACTCCATCCCTCTTACGGGTCTGGCTGAATGGTTTGTTGTTTTCGGACTTCCATACAGTTCAATTTTCTGTCTGTTTTGTTTGCTTTTTTGTTACTAAATCTTTGTTGTCTTTAAAGTTGGTTGTGCGAAGAGGTACAGTGTTTCCACCTACGCCTCCATCTTGGCCAGAAGTCAGTTAGTTTGTATTTTTGAAGTTATGTACCAGTATCATTTATGAAGATGACACTTCTTGTGTTCAATGTTTTTATATTTTTAATCTCTTTTACCTACTTATGTTTAGTATAGGCAATACTGGGCACCCTAGTATTTCTGACCTAAGTAGGAATGACTTGCCTGTGTCTTGGCTTATGGTATTGTCTTTGGGCTGTGATATAATTTATCTGGTTAAGGAAGCATCAATATAACTATATTTTATTGGTATTTTAAAACCAAGTTGTTGATTAAATTTTTAAAAAGCCAGGTGTTTTTTCTATTCACGTAAGTGACTGTAATGAATTTTATTAGTAGGGTCCCAATATTGAATCATACTTATATTATTATGATAAACTCCATCTCATCATGTATCATTCTTTTCATGTGTTGCTGAATTTTCTTTGCTAATACAATTTAGGACTCTCATCTTGATATTGACATATGAGCTTATCACAATATATGTTTAATTTTGGTGTTGTTTTTATCATGTTTTGCTGTAAGTTGACACTAGTTTCATAAAAACAACTTGAATGTTTTATTTTGTAAATATGTTGGAACAGTTTAGATAGTAGTGGAATAATCTGCTCTTTCAAGGTTTGGTGGAATTTCTCTGTGGAATTATCAAGGCCACGAGGTTTTGTGATATGACTTTTATATCGTTTCATAGAAAAGGGGTCTTTTAGACTTTTAACATTTCTGGATTATTCTGGTAAATTATATTTTCCCAGAAATCATCTCTATCCTAAATTGTTTCTCACTGTTTTTCTGCTTCTCAGGCAATGGCGTCTTGTGACCTTTTTGTTCCAACTATCCTCCCATCACTGTCACCGTAATTCAAGTTTTGTTATCTCCCTTCTGGGTTATCTCTGTCTTACAACTGTTGGAATTTTTTTCTCTGCAACCATCCATCATACACAATGTTACTAGATTAAATTTCATACCCTGTAGTCTTACTCATTAATTCAGTGTTAGCCAACATCTGGCACACGGCAGGCACGAGAGGCATGAAGAAAAGTGTGCAGGCAAAGCTCTACTCACAGAGCTTCTATTTTAGCGAGTAGGACCAGACAAGGAACAAATGAAATATATCCAGCAGTCATCAATACTATAAAGAAAAATGAGACTGGATAAAAGAGAGATAGGAGGTTGTGTGCCATTTTATATAGGGTGACGGGTGTTGAACAGAGACATGAAATATATGACAGAGAGAGCCACCGGAGAGAAGTACTTGAGGCAGAAGGTTTAATAAGTACAAAGGTGTTGATGTGAGAGTGTGTTTGTCACTCTGAGGAACAGCAGAGATACTGGCAGTGCAGCTCGAGGATGAGCCCAGGTTCAGGTGGGAGAAGTCAGAACCGCAGGTCAGACATCTGTGTGCTCGGAGGGATGGATGCTGAAAAGCAGTGGGCAAATCACACAGGACATTGTAGACCACGGTAACACCTTTTGATTTTATGGAGTGACATGAAAAATCATTAGGATGTTTTTTTTTTTTGGGGGGGGTGACATGGTATAGACTTAAGAGAAATTACTGTGACTCTTCTGTTGGGACTAGACTATAAAGGGCTGTTGGTTTAGCTTGAAGGGGAGATCATGGATGTAGTGGTAAAATTTGGGAGAAGCGGTTGGTTTTTTAGTTACATTTTAAAGATTCAACAGTCAGAATTTGAAGGTGGATTGAATGAGGGATGTGAAAGAAAGAGCCATACTCAATCTATCTCTAAGGATTTTTGGCCTGAGAAATCTAAATAAGAATGTTGCCATTTACTGAAATAGAGAGCTTTGCAGAAATAGTAGGTTTGAACCAGAAATCAAGAATTTGGCTTTGGCCCTGGCTGGTGTAGCTCAGTGGATTGAGTGCGGGCCTGTGAACCAAACTACTATGGTTCGATTCCCAGTAAGGGCAAATGCCTGGGTTGCAGGCCAGTTCCCAGCAGGGGACGCATGAGAAGCAACCATACATTGATATTTCCCTCCCTCTCCCCTTCCCTTCTCCTCTAGAGATAAATAAATAAAATCTAAAAAAAAAAGAATTTGGCTTTGGACATGTTAAAGTTGTGAATGCTACTAGTTATCTAGGTGATGGAGATATAGAATAGTGAGCTGGATATTGGAGTCTGGAATTCAGAAGACAGGTTTTTGTAGAAACTTTTCAATGGCTCCCTGTTGCTTGGAAATTCTAAATTGTTAGCATTACATTTAACCTCTTTTTTCCTGACCACAGCCTACCTTTTATGGCTTGTCTCACACTACTACTATTCATAGATCAGGCCAAATGGGTTTTCTTATTCCTAGAATGTGCTAGACATTTTTACCATTTTGACATTATTCCCTGTGCCATTCTTTATGCCTGGAATGCTTGCCGCCTCAACTCTGCCCATTGGAATACTGCCCAGTGTCCAGGGTTTATGACTTTGTACAAGAGCTGAGAGAGAAAGGTGAGCCTTGGGAAGGAAACGTCATGTTCAGTTGATGACATTTATGAACAGACTCCTGGCTGTCTTGCTTCTGTGTGCTCATTTGAACCTATGGCACAGTGTACTTTTTCTTACTGATAAAGAGAAAAGTAAATCTCTATTTTTTTAAATTTTCAGATGGGAACATTTAAAGCACATGATGGTGAATATTTCTTAGAACCTATAATGAAGGCAGATGGGAGTGAACATGAAGATGACCATAACAAGCCACATCTTATATACAGACAGGAATTAAAGAGGAACTATTTTCTGCATTCTCATAAGCCTTGTGACATTTCAGGTAAACCATGAAGTAAAAGTGTTTGGGTTAAAATAAGATACTATTTACTATTTAACTTTTTTTTATAGATTAGCATTTATATATTTTCTTTAAATATTGAAGTACCCGATATATTAAATAAATTTCTTGACTCACTAGAAATGGTCTATTTGCAATTTTGTTGTAGCAGACTGAATTTAATCCAAAAAAAGCATTCCATATATGGGATTTGTACAAATAACAATGAAAAGTCTTTACTTCAATTTGTTAGACTAGTATGATTTAATTTTTCTCAGCAGAATTTTAGATAATTAAAATAGAACCTAAGTAGCAATAACATGTTCAGCTTTGCATGCTTTTAACTTTATTTACAGGAGACCCTGTGTATAGTTTTCTGTGACTTACCTACTTTGCTGTGCTTGGTAACTGAGGTTCATCTACTTTGGTGCATGTAGCAGCCACACATTCATTTCCACTGTATACAGTATTTGGGCGCATCACAGTTCATATCTCCATTTTCCCGTTGAACTTCTGGGTTGTATGCAGTTGTTCTCTATTATAAATAATGCTGCTATGGATATGCTTGTCCCCATCTCCTGTGTCTGAGAGTTTATCCAGAGTATGTGCATGGATGCTAGGTAATTCCACATCGTTTTGCAAAGTGGTTTTCCCTCTAAAATTCAGACTGTTGAAGACGTAATTGATTAGAACCTAGGAATCATAGATATCTTTAAAGTACAAATCTGTTGCTAGTGAAATATATGTACACTGCACAGAAGTCATGTTAAGAGTTGCGGCCCTTTAGGTACATGAATCTTCACCATGTCATTGTGTGCTGTCCTGTGAAGAATGGTGAAAGGCACCTTCAGTTATCATCAAAGTACAAAATCTACACAAAAGAGCAGGATTAGAAAGGATTTATTTGAGAGTTTAGGTGTCCATAAACCATAGTTCCAAGCTCTGACATGCCATCTGTTTTGGGATATAATGATACGTAGGCCTTTGAAGGTTTTCCCTGGCAGTGCACTTCTTAACCTTTGCTATTATAAGAGTACCGTTTTGGAGTGGTTCTCACTGTGTCCAAGGCCGTGTTTTAAGTCTATTGACATAATAGATGCCTTTCTTATGCTTTTAATATGAGCATAAGGGTTTCATTTTTATGGTTTCAAAGAAAACACAAATGGGTACAGCTTCACAATAGAATTCTACAGAAGGCAGCTTATGCTTGTCCTGATCTACCATTCAGTAGCAGCTTGTTTAATGAATTGTTTAGCTTCTTAAGAAGAAAACCACCAAGTAGACACTCTGAATGCATAAATGTTTCACATAATGATATGCAGGGTTTTGCATTCACAGTCAGTGTTCATTATCAGAAAGAAAATGGTTCAAGGGAAGCCAGACTCTTTTGTTTAAAATTTTTTTATCCTGAAGACTTATTAGAAAAACTGTAAATAAAGAATAGAAAGCATTAGTTTAGTTTTCTTTTATTCACAATATATTTTTTATAACATTTATTTACTAAAATAAAGATAGGGTCTTTTTCTATTCTTAAATTTCCTCAGTTTTTAGATACAATTACCATACATATTTTAATCATTAAAAGCAATCAATTAATGGCCTAACTAGTTGCTAATCATCATTTTCATAAAAATAAAGGGTTTTGAATGTATTTCATAAAATATTATCAAAGGCCTTTTTTTCTCTCCCAATTCACACATTGTTGGTAAGAAATACTTGTGGGATCTTACATATTCTATAGGTGAAGCTTTCTTCAGGAAATTTTTTTCAGATAGGTGGGCTTAAAGATATAGCACATGGACCAAAATGATGAATTGGAAAAGGAAGAGTCATTAAAAATAAATCTGATGGTTTAAATCTGTGGTGACCCTAGAATGTCTTAATTCATACTGGCTTCAGCTTTGATGTATTAGATTAAATTGTTTTCCACACCAGATTCCACCATGTGCCTGGAGGCCATACAAGTTATATCTGGTCCCCCTACTTAGCTGTTGAAAATGCCAGGCTCCCACAGAGACCCCAGACATATTCTAAGTAATATGTAGTGCAAATGGCCAAATACACACACAACCTAAAAAATGAACAAAAAGCCTTATACACACACTAACAAAATTAAGAACCAAGGAGAGGGAAGCCCTGAAAAAAGATGGTCGCATATGAAAAAATCCCTGGATTGTAAGTGAAGTTTTGCTATTGGTTATTCTCCGAGAGCAGGTCAGAGCTGGTCTGTGTTCCTGGGGAGACCCAGTGAGCTGTGCTCCCTCTCATCCAGTGTCACTCTGCCCCTCCCATCTTAGTGTCATGGGGAGGAGTGTAGAATGTCTGCAGAGCAGCAAAGAAGAGGACTTGCTGTGAGTGAAAATGAAATGTCTCTGAATGTGTTTGAAATGATGGCCAGCTCTAGAATTTCTATGCTTTTTCTAGTTAAAAAAACCATTTATTTATTACAGTCTTTGAGTCCCTAATATATGTAAAGGATGTATTGGGTAAATCAATTCTTTCTTACATGAGGTTCTCAAAGCCCAGTGGGTGTGAAAACCCCCCCCACAAATACAGAAATTGGATAAAACCGAGCTAAGGCAGCCCTAGCTATGTTGGGAACAATAGGGTAAGTAGCTCAAGGGGCAGACAACACACTGCCCTGGGTTTTTACCGAGGGGGTGACATTTAAACCATTTAATCTCCAATAGGAAGGATTTGTAGGCCTTTTTTAAGCAAAAGGGAAACAGAGGGTTTATATAAAAATGTGCCCAGGAGTTGTTTTGATGAAGCATGGTAGGGTGGCAGACATGGAGGTAACTGCCTTGGAAGGAATTTGGTACTTATGGTCCCCAAGACAAGCGCACATGCCACATCACTCAGGGCCACATGGCGCAGCATCTGGGTTGGTTAGGAGGCGGGAGGAGTGAGGGGAAAGGATGGACAAAAGGCAGTGTTACTATAGTGGTGGGAAGTTGCTAGGTGGGATGCCCTGTTGGACAAGAAGTAAAACACAAATATTGGGGTTCTGTGGTTGGAGGGTTGGTAATGTCATTTTGGTGTGCCCACAAAAGCTGGATTATGGGAGGAGAGGTAAACAACTTTGGCTGGTAGTTTGGGCCTGTGATTAATGAATGACAAATCAATTGGAAAATCTGTAAGAGTTGGCTGGAACAGATCTATAGGTGAGCAGGAATAGTTTTTATATCTTTAAAGTCCCAATATGTGTAGGGGAAGAGTGTGGGAAGCAGGGGAAGATGAGGTTGTGAAGACATACAGAGGCAGATCTCAAAGAACATTAAGGATTTTGAAGGCTACCCTATAGGCATTGGGGAATCGAAGTTTTCAGAGACATCATCATATGATCTCCTATTGTTGTATTACTTAGCTGTCAGCTGTATTTTTTAAGGATAGCTTTGGAGTTGAAGGAGATGAGACAAAAGGCCAGGGAGACTGAATCAAAGGAAGCAGCTATCTTGTCAACAAGGGATTTCAATGTCAAACAAGTAAAGCACATGCACACAAAGAAGTAAATTGAAGGTAATTTCCTTAAAGCTTTTTCTTCAACTCAGAGATGGTAAAGACTTTTTTTGTACATGAGTAATCTATTTGGATATTTCTGTGAATGCATGACAATTGTCTTTTTAATAAAATTTTACTCATATATAAATCATTTTCCTGTCTTTAAGGATGATGATTTAATCAGCGTCTGTTTTGGGAAGTCGGACATCTTTAATGGCAGCAGAGGTCACATTTCACTTAGAAGCTGAGAGTCAGGGAAGAGTGTTCTGCCTCTGGCTCTGTTATCAACTGATTTTGAGATCTTAGCTTCTCTGTCTTAGTTATAGCATAGGTAGTGGGTAGTTATGGATTTAATATTTTTATATAAATGTCACAGGGGTTTCTAACTTAGATATAGCTACAGAGACCAGGCAGTTACCAGAATTGAGTGACGTGAGGAGTCATTAGGATGTCCAGGTAGCCATAGGTCAATGGCATGTGCATGCTTCTTGAAAAAGGTGCATTGGAAAGGCAGGGTCGATATTACCAGATCTTTTGACTTTTACAGAGAAGTTAAAAATGGGGAAAAGTTTGATACATGAGAGCTGAATTTGGCTTGTTAGCTACCAAATTGCAATCCCTTACTTAATGATCTGTAAGTTCCCTGCCACTTACAATATTTTATAAATTTGTGGGCAGAGGAGGATGTGACATCAATTAACCTAGAGGCAGAGGATTATAAATAAAGCCATGACCAAGACCAATATTTTCAACCAATAACTTGTTAATGGTGTTTTTCAGTCAGCTCAAGCTTCTAAATATATATAGAAATGACGCTAGAGATTTCACTCTTTTGCCCAGCCTTTGTTAAAACTACTCTCTCAGTGATCACTTATGACCTACTTGCCAAAAGCAGTAATCTGTCCGTCTTACTGTTACTTCACTTTAGGGGAAGATTTCTCACTATGGATCAACTTCTCCTAATTGAATTTTCCTTTCTTTGGCTTCTCTGACATACTTTGCTTCCAACTTTGCTACTTTTCTTTCTTAACTATTTTTTTCTATTTCTCTTCCTGGTGGTTGTTACTGCTTTCCATCTTCTACGCAATTTTTAAAGTGTTCTTCTTCACCACCATTTTATGCCATTTTTATATAGTCCTCATTATTTTCTACTTTCCTAATTTAACTGCAAATTTAAATGACACATTTTTCAAGTGATTTAAATTTAGCTTCTTTTGAGATTAGATCTCAGGTCCACAACTGTCTGATGCTCACATTCTTGGATGTCCCTGTGGCATCTTATAGTCAATACATCTAGTCTGAAACCATTTTCTCTCCTACACCACTCTCTTCATCCATACCCCTTACAAGAATCAAGTGTCCAACTTGATTCTTTTTTCTTTCAGTGTCAGAATTATGATCTAAATCAAGCTTCTGCTACATAAAGAGTCTTAATTTTTGAAAAAAATCCTACTCTATTAACTAGAGAAAACTGATTTAGATTTGAATAACAGATTTGCCTT